ATGTTTCTTACCATTTGAGAATATTTTATATGATTACAATATTTTAAGTAAAATTTATAAAATGCACAATGTGAGTATTTTACTTATTTGTTAAGTAAAACTGTATGATAAAATTGATATTTTATAAGTACCCATTTTGTTATTATTTTAATTATTTATGTTTAATTACTTGTTAATTATTAATATTCTAATATAATAAATACGTATAAACAAGTACAACATCTTTATTTTTGTAGATTGATGTAATAGGTTTCTTATAATGTAGCTTATTTTGGGCTATATTAATTATTTATAAAGGCCATGTAAAGCGATGTAATTTCGTGTTTACTTTATAAATAATATTATTTTGGATATGGACACCTAAAAATATCAGTAGAGTTCTTTATTAGAACTCAATTTATTATGTTATGTTGTATGTGGCAAGTGGGAATTGTTCTCATGCTCAAGGACAATAGGAGTTGTTCCCATGATCCAAAGTTTAAATTAGATTAGATATTTTAATTTCATGCTTATATCATTGGTGATGATTACTAGCATGTATGGAAAATTTTTGAACTAGAAATATAGATAAAAATTAAATATGTTTAATTTTAATTTATTAGAAAATTAGATAAGTGCCTAATTAAATTCTATGCAATGATGTAGTGATATGGCTTCAAAACAAATTATTATTGATTTGATCAAAGGTGCCAAACTTGATGGCAAAAACTACGATATTTGGCATAAGAAGGTTCAATATGTTCTCAATTAGTAAGAGTTGCTTGATCATTTGACCAAAGAAATGAACCCATTTGAAGTTGGAAACACCACCCAGCATCGCTGTGACCAAGAGGCCTATGACACTTGGTATAAGAGAGATCATAGTGCACGTTTTACCATAATAAGCTACATGCATGATGATCTTATTGGGAAGTTTGAGAACATTCCAACTACCAAACAATTGTCGGAACAATTGAAATTCAAGTATGGTGGAACCATAGTTATGAAGCTTCATGCCTTAACACTTAGGTTCAATCAATATATGATGGATTTTAAGCACACCATGGCTGAGCACATAAAGGCCATGTAAGCCATGATAAGAGAGATAAAAATAGCTGGCTATGATCTCATAGATGAGTAGCAGGTCTTAGCTTTCATCGAATTACTCTTTAAGTTCTCATGGAGACATGTCAAACTTGTATTTACACACAATGAGGGGATAAAGACTTATGATAACATTTCTTGCTATCTAGAGCTTGAGGTAGAGCGTAGAGAAGCTATCCACAATATTGCCATGATAGCTTAAGTTGGAAATTGCAAAGGATATGTTCCTCAACAAAAGAGACAACCCAAAAAGGAAAAGACTAGAAATCTAAGACCCCAAAATGATTGAGTCAACAAGCACTTGAGAGGCAATCATGGTAGGAAAAAGGATAAGTCCAAGTTGAAATGCTTTAACTATGGTAAGAAAAGACAATTTGTTCAAGACATAGAACCTAAGAAGGTTCATCCTCTAAACCTTTTTAGAACTTATGTATGTTTTCATGTGTTTATAGCTTATTCTCTCCTTGGTTGGATTGTAGATATAGTAGCAACCAAGCACATAACTAGCAACCATGCAAGGTATGTCGATTATTATCATATACCCACGGGTAAACACTTTGTCATGATGAGGAACAGAGTAGATAAGGAGATCTTAGGAGTTGGAATCTACCAACTCACAATGCACAATGGGTGTAAATGGCTCCTACATGATGTGTTTCATGTCACCTTTGTGCGATGTAATCTACTTTCAATTTTAGCATTGATGGATTTAAGATTTAATTTTATTGTGATTTCTAGCTATCATTTTGATTTCTTCTTTCTTGGGTTCTGTCGATTTAAGGGTTTGCTGTTACGTTTTCATTTTCAATTTTTTGTCTATTAGGGTTTCTTTGGTTTAATTTTTTTTCCTTGTGGGCGGTTTTGTGTTTCAGTGCGATTTTCCTTTGTTTTCTTTCTATCGTTTTGGTTTCTTCTTTTTATGATTTAACCGGTTTAAGGGGTGATCAATTTATCGTTTTTGGGGTTTTGTAGAGAGATTCGAAGGGAAAGCTATATGAGTGTTCAATTTGGGGTTTTCGAGTTTATTTGTTGTTTTTATGCAAACGAGAATGGAGGGGAAATGAGTAAAGGTATTCAGCACGATATATTTTCTAAGAAGTATTAAGGTGATGGCTATTGGTTTTTGCACAGAAAGAGTGGGATGATAGGTTTTTTTTTTTTTATGACGGTCGGAAAAAGGGTTGGGCTATGGCTGGTAGGAGAAAAAGATTTGTTAGGGTTTGGTTGCTATGGTTTGGTTTAGGTTTCAAACTGTGTCGTTTTGAGGAATAAAAATAGAAAAGGAAAAAAAATATAGATAGATGTGTCGTTTGTTTCTAGATGAATGGATTACTATTCTATGGTCCTGTCAATTATCTGTTCGGTTGATTTTTTGCTCTGATTTGTATATGGATGCAAGTAAAGTTATTGTTCCGTTATTCGGGTTTTTGGCTGTATATCTAGTTGCTTGCATTCCTCTTCCATGTTTTTCCCTTCATATCCACTTGGTTGTATTGTTTTTCTATATAAAGTAGACAAAGTAGGAACGTTTGATGTTTGGAATACTCTACAGTGGTTTTTCTGTCTTTTTTGTGCTGTTCGTCTTTTTTTTCGTGATCAGTTGACAAGGTCTGTTTTTTTTTCTTATTATTGTTTTGTATTCTTCATTATCAATAGTTGATTTTGTTGTTTGGTGGTTGGATACTGTTTTGTGTTTTGCTATTGTTTTCTTTATGCAACTTTCAAGTTTACAAGTTGTAATCTGGAGAATCTAGAGACATTTGTAAAATTATTGGAATTGTTATTTTTTTTACTATTATAGTTTTTCAAGTGATAATAAAATGTTTTGTTTCTTTACTTTTAACAATGAATGTGGGTTCTTTCTAAATGTTTCATTCTATTCTATGTTTAATATTAGTTTTTTTATTCATAAGTTTCTATGATAGGACATTTGAATATTAACTGTTGTTTAATATTTGTTATTTGCATATTCTGTTCTCATGGATTGAGTTGTTGTAAAGGTGTTGAAAAATTTATTAGTAGATTTTTTGGATGGGAAATTTCCGAACGTTAGATTGTACTGTTTATCTTATTTAGTTTAATTATTGATAAAATTTTATAATATTACATTAGGGATAATTGTTTGCTGTGCGTGAAGATCTTAATGCTAAGTGTGACTTAATAGCATTTATTTAAATATTATGTTTCACTGCTGGAGTTGCTGTAAAAGCATTGAAATCTTTAAGTACACAGATTAAGTTTTGTTTACATGATAACACTGATTTTGTAGTTTATTACCTGTGAATTTTTGTGGTATAAAAATTAGGTAATTTTCTTTACACACGTTTTGTTCATGTAATAAAAATTAAGTCATTAGTGGTATACAGTTTAAGTTAGGTTTATATCGTACACAAAAAACATATATATCCATATTATATGTGGAGGTAGGATGGCTTTGTACTGTTAAGTTTGTGTGCAAGAAAATTTATTTCTCAAGTTGTACAATTAATAGATAACTGTTGACCAACTTACTGCAAATCCTTCTTTATTGTAATTAACATATATTGTATATCGTACAGATAAATCAAATCAAAAGTTTAAGCCGCTGACTTGTTAGTAATGGAACTGAAGAAGATGATGGATTAAGGGTAGGATTAACAGAAAAAGTTATTGACCATGGATTGATAATCTTCAAAATATTTGACTGTAACAATATCGAAAAATCTTTCCTTGAAAGATCGAGAGTGGAAGAAGCAACAAGCTTAGCAAGTGAAGAGCCTACATGTTCTCAAACACCACTGCCCATGGTCTAGGACTCTTAAATGGAAGTGCCACTATCACCAATGAATGTCCAAGTGGCAAGAGAATTGTTTCCAAAGGAGTCCTTAGGAAAGAAGATGAAAATTGAATAGACTATTGTCACTGTCCTCAATTTTAAATTGAGGGTGAACGTAGAAATTTTTCTATTTTTACATGCAGCACAGACTATTGTCACTGTGCTTGGCTGCTTGCATGATTCCAATGATGCAAAGGTATACAACATTTTCTTTTTATTGTTTGCAGTATGACCTATTCTCACTCAACTGTTTCTTTCTTTTATCTACAACTGAACCAAGAATAGCAATGTATGACAAAACAATAATTATATATAATTTTTTTTCTATTGGCATTTATGAATATAATTTTACTACTTAAACATACTAAAACATTCCTCCAAATTGATTTTGCAATTTTTCTTTTTTTATTCAAACAATTTTTATTTATTCAACAACCCGCGACAATGCGTAAGCCTTCTTTTTACTAATTATAAAATATTCATGTGAAACATGATACAAAAATCAGATTAATACAAGAAAAAAGAACCCTGAAATTCCTTTCTTTTGATCCAAAGGAGGCCCCAATAGAAACTAAAAATTGAGAACTTTGCTCGTTGAGCAGGTTCAAATCCTCATAAATCTGCGCAAATAATATAAAAGCTTAAGTGAATGGCCCTCGCGAATATTTTTATGAAGAATTCTTTCAAAAATCTGTTTTTTAAAATGAATAAGAAAAAATTTAATTTTAGAAAAATATAAAAATTTCATTATTTGGAGAAAAAGAAAATCATTAAAAAAATCTCACTGTTGTAAAATTTGATAATCTCAATATTGATAAATACGACTATGAGGAGAAATTTATTAAAAAAAATTAAAATATGTTTATTTATATAAAAATATTTGAACATATTAACATTTTTTATTAATAAAGTGACAATATACGATCAATTATAATTAATTATAAATGTATAAAATTTATATATTAATGATATATTAAATATAAACTCGTAAGTGTATCGCGAGGTCAGTTTTATTTGCACATAACAATTAACGTAAAAGTGCAGATATGATCTAAAAATATCCGTACAAAAATTACTGCTGATTTAGGGACGCACGCAGCCAAACAGCACCCCAGACAAAAAACTGAAAAAAAAAGAAAAGAAAAGCAGTACGATAGTAATCGAATTCTATTTCGAAATTCTAAAAGCAAAACTAAGAAAATTAAATAAATAAAGAGGGCACCAAATATCTTCAACACAGGAGGTCGCGATTCTTTCAGGTTGGTTTGATTTCTTAGTATTCTTCTATTTCTCTGGTTTTCACTGGTAATAGTAATTTAATTCCTGCCCTTAAATTTGTTCTTGGAATGTACTGAAAACGCCGGTCCTTACTTGGAATCGAGTTCGATCGTTTTTACCTCCAGCCTCTTTCCAGATTATTCTTTTCGTCTTCTTCTAGAGAAGGCTATTAATGAAGTTCCCGGATTTTATTACTTTTTTTTTTAAAGTTTACTGTTGAATATAACCATTTTTGCAGCTTACTGTAAAAGAATCGGCAGCGGGGTCTTGACTTCAAAATAAAAGAAATGGTACGCTCTTGATCTCATTTTATTTTGATAATTCATGTGTTAATTCATTTTTACTGTAAATTTTATTTTTTAAAATGCATTTGTATAGATTTAATTTCATACGAGTCCCTGTGAAGAAAAAAGAGAGAAAATCGTGGCAATTTCAGTAATGTTTTAATAATTTAATCTGATTGACACACAAAGAAACTGAGATATATGTTGCAGTTTGGGGAATTAATGAATTGTGAAGGACATGATAGCTTATAGGCACCATAAATGATTAGTAAAAGGATGGAAGAAAGAATAGTTTTGTAGATCTAAAGTAGTCTTCGGCTTAGTATACACTGAATAGGTCTAGTGGGTGGAGAGATTGAAAGGGAGGAAAGAACTGACAGTTGGGGGATATGGCGTGGCATCATGGTTAAATGTTGAGAAGTTAGAAACTGGTTTCATTACTCTTTATTGGGGCAAGGTCAACTGTTACTGGGCTATATAGCCCACTCCCAATGTTTTCTTACTTGTTCAGTGTTCATTGTAAAGGAAGTTCTAGTCTCAAGCTGGCTTGTGTTTATTTGAAAGTTTTCTGTCTACATGGAGTGGATTCTTTATCCTTGGATTTGCTAAATGGAGCATTGCTTTGCTTGAATCCACCTGGTAGTTTGTTTGGCTTGTTCAAAGAGCAATTCTCCCTTATCATCTTGTCGAACTGTGAATATATTCAACAGCTTTCCTGTGGTTCGTTGTGACTACAGATATGCATTATAGCTTGATTTCCTTGTGTACATAATGATCAGGATTCCCAGATCATGAGTTTTATATATGTTGCTGAAAAAATATTTTTATCTACAATTTCACTTTGAAGCAAAGAGCTGTGTCAAAAATTTTTCCACCTTCATTTTTATATATCAAAACAACCCAGTCCTTTGTTTATTTGTTAATGAAATCTGCAGTGAGGAACTCTCACAATTCTTCTATGTAAGCATTCGAAGAGTTAATGTAATAAAGCCAAATGAGAAGTAAAATCAATGTAGTAAATTATATTTTATTTTTTAAGCTGATATTATACGTATGGATTACAATGCATATTGTCAAAATTCCTTTCAGTTCAGTTTGTTTTATTTATTTAATGAGCAGCTTAAAGCATTTAACTGTTATATTTAAGTTTGGCCTTTGAACTCAACATAACTTTTGTAGGCTATGTACATTCGTGTCAAGCGTAGCAAGACGACATACTTTATCCAGTGTGATCCTACTGAGACTGCTTTAGACATAAAGCAAAAGTTGTGTACCCTCATTGATCAACCTGTTAATGATCAGCGTTTGATCCTAGTGAATACAGGGGAAATATTAGAGGACTCGAAAACTTTAGCAGATCAGAAGGTACTACTATATTCTGTCTTTCCTCTTTACATTTATGTGGAAAAATTTTCTTACAGCACTTCAGTATCTTAACACTGATTTATTCTTTGTTCTTTCAGGTTGAAAATGATGCTGTTGTGGCACTGACCTTGAGAAAAGGTTGTTGCTTACTTGTAGTTTTCTTCTTCTTCGGTTTTCATTTCCTTTATATGTTCTTATTGCACATATCATTTTAGGCTAGTTAGCATCCACAATTTATGTATTATGATACTGGTTTCTTAGCTCAAATGATTTGGATCAGAAGTAAAGGAACTTTTTAGCACTGTTTTTCTGTTACCGCAAGATACAAGCTATAATAGATATATACCTTTTAACTTGAGTCTTAGAAGGTAGGTTGCACTGTGTTTATGAGGAAATATTGTTTTAGGTTAGAATAACTTTTGTTTCATATGCTATGTTATGCAATAGGTGAAGAAGCTCTTACTATAGTAGAAGACTTGCAAACGAACAATAGATTGCCTAAGTTACTCCTATTATTAGCAATAATTCATAGAGGTTTTCTGCATTAAGTGCATGTGTTTTGTGTGCTGAACCTTAAAACAAACGATTGTCTCTTCTTTAACAAGGTGAAATGCAGGTCGTCGTTTAGTTGTGATGTCTTTTTAACCCATTCATGTTGTCAAAGTCATGAATAAAATGGAGTTTAGATTATCTGGAATCTTGTGAAACATGTTGAGTGCCTTCTTTTATGCTTGTAAATACATTTTTGTGCATGCATTGTGTGGGCTGGCACATTTAAGCTTGCATGGGATTGCTTGGGTCAGTATCTCATTAAAAGGCATTTAACTCTTTTCCCTAAGTGGCCTTTTCTCTCCTTATAGGTGATCATTTGCTAAAGTAACTTTTTGGCACTTTATTTTGTCTTCTCTTTCTCTCTCTTTCTCTTTGATTTCTCCATCCTAATGAGCTTTTATATTTAATACTCTGAGGCTGCATATTTTTCCTTGTGTGTTTTGCCTGAAACTGGGAATTAGGCTGAGCGTTATGACATTGAGCTCTGCTTTACCTATGTCTACATTTAAAGAGGCAAATGCTAACTCCAGATAGCAATTGCTGCAGTATTTCAATGTGTTTCCGTTTTTTATCAGTGTTGAGACCTCCTCCTCAAGCTAAATGTGTTGCATTGTAAATGTAATCTCTCACTTTTTTTTATTGAATAGCAATGTAATCTCTCACTTGGAAGCTGGATTTTATGGTTGTTGTAGTCTTGAATTGGGAAGTCAGGTTAATTCCAGTACAACTTTCAAATTAGTCCAGCTTCTGAGAAATATGGTTGTGTAGAATTGGCTGTTGTTAACTTCTCTATTTTGTTTAGTTTGGCTCTAAGAATGAAAGGTTCATCTCTCTGCCATTGTTAATCATGCTAAGAGAATGAGAATTAGGAAGCATACAATATACTGCATCATACATTCTTGACCAAATATTGCATCATTGTACTGCGAATCTGCATCTGCATGTCTGACTGCATGTTTCAATCAGCATCTTGAAAAGCTTTCCATTCCTGCTACCAGATGACAATGAGTTTGAGGATGTCAACATAGTACAACCAAACGATTTCTACCAATCTCGTGATGCAGATAGCGGAAATTGGTGAAACCACGATGTGATGTGGTAAAGGAGGTTCAGCAGTGCAGATGTACCAACGTCATGATATTTTCGTTGTTGGTGGTCTTTGTACCATGAAACATGATTTTTACAGACAGTAATTTCATGTATTAAGCTCCAGGAAAACGAAAATCATGTATTAAGCGGAAACTCTTTTCCTTGCTAAGGGGTGGCATGTAACTCTTAAAACTAACTATGAAGAAAGATATGTTTCTGGTTCATCCCGTTATATTACACATTTTTTTCATCTGAAGAATGACTTATGGTACAACTGCAGCTATGCTATGATCTCAAACCCACTATTGTGAGTCCAGTGCCCAAACTGCTATCAACTATCAAAATTTTCCTATTAAAAGGAACTAATAAAAGCAGGTGAAACTTTCAGCACCTTGCCTATCAACAATAGAGTAATGTGACTGTCACAACCTGCAATGCCTTAGCCTCAAGTTAATGAAATCCTTGATGTATAAATCCTTGTCATCAACCACTTCTTGAAACTTGAATAAATTAAAATTGTCATTAAATATATTGGAATTTGAACTTGGAAAGCCGAGATGAGCCTCGTTTGTTGCAGAAATTGCCTATATCTCGGAAAATGAAGAAAACCATGCTATCAATATAACAACTTCTTAGGATGAGAAGAAAAAAAGAGGGTATATTTTACTTATAATGCTACTATAACCGAGTCTTACATTCAAATAACATCTTCGGAAACTTGATGCCAGAGACACTAGTCATGAGACTGATAAAAACACAAATGCCTATCTACCTATACCTAGCACTAGCACATTAAACAAAATTAAAATAGCTATCGTCAAACCCAAAGGGCAAAAAACATAAACAATTGTAAGAATTACTCAAAACCTAACGGCCTAAGCTAGTTGCGATCGGCACAGGGGGCAAGATGTTTTCCTCCACAGCCACTGGGCAATGCAACCCCCATGAAAAACATGCGAGCAGGGCGTCTTCCTAGAGGAATCCATGGAGAGCCCTTCCAAGCAGATCGCACACGTGCCCTGATCCGCCAATGCACCTCCGTCACATAGTTCAAACAAGTCCAGTCCAGGCACTTGTGTCAACCCCAAGGGTTCAGAGATATCGATTGGCTCCAACACAGATAACACAGGCACCCCCAACAAGATTCTCAATCTCAGCACGATATCTTCTTCATCAGTAGTATCAGCTTCACCACTGAACCGATCCCCAACTTCAACTTCACCAATGCCATAATCTTGAAAACCCTTAAGAACCAAAGCTTTATTTACTTCAACAACAATGAGAACTTTGGGTGCATTGGGATAGACAATGTGTCAAGCCCGAAACTGTAGTTCCTGACAAGGTATCCTGAAAGGCTGTTGGCCAAAGCTGTGATATTTCTCTGTTCAAGAAACTGTTGTGTGCTCAGCACGGCTTCATAAGCTAGTTTTTCTACATCCTTCGTAGAAGACAAGCATTCAAGGTCGAATGGGAAACTATAGGAAATTGGGTGGGAGGATTTAACATTTGAAGTAGCAGGAGTGGAAACGAAACGACTTTTGATTAGAAACAGGATTTGTCCTTGAAGAACATGGTGCTGATTGCTGGGTGATTTTACGTTCCACTTAAACAGGCGTACCCGTTTCTGGAACACAAGTTCTTGTATCAAATTCATCGCGTTTAGTGGTTTGATCAATCTTGCCTATGACTTGAATAGGAAGGAAGCATAGACACTTATTATATATACATAACAATGGCGGTTGATTATGGCGGCTATGGAATGGCGGTTTGCTCCAACGGCTAGTTTAGATTTTTATTTTTTTTAAGAAAGTTTTTTCTTTTTTTTTTTTGTAATACTAACAGACCCGTCCTTTTTTCCCCACTCCAATCCCATCATTTTTTTAAAAAACTCTCTAAATTTCATCATTTAATAAATATTTTAAAAAATTAAGATACTTTAAATCATTTAATAAATTATGTAACGAATAATAAAATATTTTGGATAATTTCATACTAATAATTAAATTATAAATCTACAACAAAATATAAGTTTGATAAAATTCTTTACAAAATTAAAAAATATAAATTAAATTTAAAATTTAAAAACTAATTTCTAATTAGTCATCTTTCTCATGATATAATCAACTTCAAAATACCGATTAAGTAATGAACCATACTAATTTAAAGGAGGAAGAATAATTAAACGGTCTGGGTTTTCTCAAGTTGTTTAGCAAATCGTTTTTTAATTCTGACTTTTTGTAGCTTTTAGTTATCTAATTTTGTAACTTGTTATTTAATTATTAAAATAAGTATTTTAATGAAATAACAAAACAATTCATAAATTTTGATGAAAAACTAAATCAATCATAGTTTAAGAGTCATTTATCGGTATATATGTCAAACTCGTTGAATTCACCGATTTTTCATATAAAAGTTGTTTGTAGGAGTCAATTGCAAAAACATTTGAGGACTGTATTAATGGTTCTAATGATAGTTAATCTTATCCGATTATGAGAATTATAATTATTACTGATGATATTATTTATAATTATTTATTATCATATTATATGTCAATAATAGAATTTTTAAAATTTAAAAGTAATGATTATCTTAATTTTTATTTTCTTAATTAGAAATTAAACAAAAAATTTATAGATCCTTTTGTGAAGTTTAAGAACTTCAATACTAATGTATAAAAAGCATTTCCCTCCCTCTTTTATTAGTTTTCACAAACTCTTAATTAATGTTTAACATTTTCAGACTGTATTTACTCAATCCTTAAGTGTTCTTCGAAACTTTTTGCAATACTTATTATGATTATTTTCACTTTTCATATGGTTCCCTTTTACATTTTCATTTTGTTTTCATAATATTTATACATATAATTTATCTATTACTTTTTGTTACATTACATAAAACCATTTCGTTGCATGATAATTTCTTGTTTTTGCATATTATTAAAACGAAGGCTAAAATGCTCTAAAAACCCTTTAACTATTTAAAAAAATTTAGATAAACTCCAATCTTATCATGGCATTGAATTAAGCCCTTAAAGTACTATTTTAATCCTTGAAAGCCTTCATTTGGTCCGTTATCTCCATGGGCAACATGACATAGTTCATAATGACATGGATTTAGCAGCTGATGTGGCATGATTTTGCACACATGGCAGCTTGTTAAAAAGCAAAAGAAGAAAAGAAACCCCAAATTCAAAAACCCAAAAAATTTAAAATCAATATGCAAATGACTCAAATAGAGGAACAGAAGCTCGATCCAAGGAATTATTGATTATTTATTTCTATTATGAGATTTCATTTTTTTTTTTTTTAGGAATTTGGAATAAAGGTCTTGGAAGGTAAAATCTTGGGTCATCTTCCAATCGAAGTTCATAAAATATTATGTTGTCATAGGACAAAAAATTTGTTCATTTGTAAAAAATAATGATGAATATGTTTGGTTGCCATCAGGGTGTTGTACCTTTACATGGTAGTATGCTTCTGTGTTGTTCTCTATGTTATTTTCCTAATGACAAAAAGTTTTCATCGTAGGGTAAGAAGAATGACCCATCATCAAGTTCTGAAAAGGACATTGGAAATTCATATGCTTGAAATTTTAACAACTTCGATAAAGATCCCATGCAGAGAGGCAATGGACTGATGGGGTAAGGAGAGCTCTATGCTTCCCACTTTACTTACTGTCGATGGACATAAACCATTGATATAGGCCAGCACTACCTTGAATTTTAAAAATAGTGGAGCCGGCATATAAGGAATAAGAAAATTGTGTGAGGGCAATTTTGATATTTAATTATCCATCCTAAATTTTAATCTCTATTGAAGCTTTTGGTCATCAGTGGAACGTTTGTGGAGCCTGTGTCATCAAATATACGATGTCGGGCTAGCACGACCCAGTGAAACCAGCAGCCATGTGTTAATGGGCAATGCCGACAGCGGCCATGCTGGCTAGCTCTATGAGGGCCAATCACATGAACCACAGCCCTCATATTTCGTGTCAGGCTTGGCGTCACTTTGTTATGGTCAAAAAAGAATAAAGTAGAATAGACAATAAGACTACAAAATTTATGCGGTTCAGCAAAATATCTACGTTCACGGGAATAGGTAGAAACAATTCATTAAGGAAAAATATTAAAAGTTATAATTATTGATAAGTCATATTCTTAAATTAAGAAAAACACACATTAAGAGATTAAAACAACATATTATCGTTCCTTTGAGAAAATCTTTTGAAAATTAAGCGAACTTTCAAAATGAATTTCCTCAATGTGATGTGCCATAGTATACATTTTACTAGTGGTATAGTTTTCATAGAAAGTTCACTTTTCTACGAAACCATATACCAAAATGAATGGATTATAACTTCATCTATCAATAGTTTAAATATTTCATAAATGGATTTATATGATACAATTCCAATTATATAAGTAGTTATAAAGTACTAAGAGCAGATAAGTTCTCATCAAATCATAGAAATAACATGAAAGTTAATTCAAGGGTCAATAAGATGAGGTTGATTTTAGTAGTTATGCATTGACATGGGTAACGCACATTTATGCTTGTGTGCTGTGTCGTACAAGCTCATATGTCACGAGCTAACATAGTCCTTTAATGGGCATGTCGTGACGGGCCAATGGACTTGAAACCTCTTGCTTATCATGGCAGAGTCATATGGGCCATGTCAAAAATGACCTACTATTATAGCAATGGATTGTGCTAGGTGTCATGATCTAACCTTTGTATAGGATTATGATGGGGTAGAATTGCACAGACAACTAAGTTGCTTTAAGAAGAAATGTCTCCATTTCAAACAATGTAAAGTCACTTGGTAGCATACTTATAAAAACTTGTTAAGTCTTTAGAGAGAAGGCTCTTGAGGGAAGAAGTGTTACCTTTTCACACATTGTAGTGGCTCTTGGTGGTATAGTTGTAAAAGCTCGATAACTCTTTATAATGGGTGAGTAGTTGGCAGATTGTTGGGTTACCTCACTAGTTAAGGGATGTCAGTGGCTAACAATCTAAAGCTGCCCCTATCGCCCGACAATGGCATATTTATATCTTTGGTCTTTTTGCACTTCCATTTTAATATTAATAAAATATTTTTTATTTATTTGGAATCAATAGTTGCGTATATGGCATTCGCTATGTCTTATGATTTTACTAACACATTTCGTAAGCTAACTCATGACTATAATTTGTGTTTATCTAGATATAATTGAGTTTTTGATTAGCTTGTGTGGAAGTGTCCATCCAAGAGTTGTATGAGTTATTGCGTATTTTGAGACAAAAGGCATCGTCTGTGATAATTGGCATTAGAGTATGGGCTAGACATGCTAATAAGAAAGCAAATTGGTGAACACGTGAAGTGCATAGATGACCATCAGAGAATTGAAGAGCTAGAGGCTGCGATGGTTGCCATAAAGGCTTAGCTGATCCCACTTGAGCAAATAAGTGAAATTGAAACAATCAACGGGAACCAGTTGAGATGATAAATGCCTGGAGTGATGGGAACAAGGATGCGTTTAACACTCTTCAAGGCAAGTTTGGAGAATTGAAAGCTTTTGTAAATCTTTTGGTTACTGTTGCAAGTAATGTTAATGCGAATTTAGGAGATAGAGGGAAAAAAGCTAAAGTGTCAAAGCCGAAGCGGTACGGAGGCGCTAAAGATGCAAAAAAGCTGAAGAATTTCCTTTTGAATATAGAATAGTATTTTCAAGTTGTTTGCATAAAGTCAAAATAAGACAAGATGGCAATGGCCATAATGTATCTTACTGGAGATGCTAAGTTATGGTGGTGTTCACAATTTATCGATGGCGAGTGCTTTATCAACACTTGGGTTGAGCTTAAGTGAGAATTAAAGAATCTATTTTTCTTTGAAAATGCTAAGTATATGGCTCCTGGAAACTACAAGAATTGACGCAAACAAGATCTGTATGGGAGTTTGTAAGGAACTTCTATACCTTGATGTTGGATATCAAGGACATGATCGAAAATGATAAATTATTCTATTTCCTCGAAGGTATAAAACCATAGGCTAAGGTAGATTTACATCGACAAAAGATGCAATATGCAACTTCGACGATGGTAACTGCAGAACATTTTATTGATTATAGTGATAGTTCTTATAAAATAAAGGATCTTCCTTTAAGGAATAGTAGCTCTAGCTCAAACAATAGGGTAAAATTTTTCAAAGTTAGCAAACCCTCAAGTGGGGGAGGGGAAAGAAGATCACTACTGGAATCACACTCCAACTAAGGACAAATAGAACATAAGGCTTCAAGCCATGACTCTTTTTATTGTATTTTCTATGCAATGAATCTTATTGAGTAGTTGAATGCCCACATGGAGTAGCCCTCAATGCAATATGTTCATCCTATCTGAAGATAATTGTGCCCCATCCCCTAATTGAAGAAGTTGAGGAGGAAGAACACGGATGAGTTCAATTCATTTCTTGAATGCCCTTTAATTTCTATTAGACAAGATGAAAAAGGAGTCATAACATGGTCTTATGTATGTGGATATAGTGTTAAATGACAAAAACAGTGCTCAACACAAAGGCCTCAAGCATCTTCATCACCTCGAGGAGGCTAAGAAGTGTAGCCTTAAAGTTGAGAAAGACATTGAGTAGATGAAAACAGTCAACTCACTAGCTTTAGTTATGATGGGGAACCTAAGGATGTGTGGACTAAGATCTATTCTTGGGAAAAAGGTGTAAACTTCACGATTGCCACCATAGATGACTTTAATGTTATCCTTGGCTTAGACTTCATGACAAAAACAGAAGTCATTCCATTTCCTACTATTAGCTGTTTAATGTTTTTCAGAGAAAAATCATATGTAGTACTTGCTACAATCACCCCTAGGTGCGACAAAAAGATAATATCAACCATTTAGTTTAAAAAAAAGGATCAATCCCTCTTCTGTGGTCTTGCCCATCTACAAAGACAGGGATAATACAAACTTAATGCTTACAAGAGTGAAGTTGGTTTTGGAAGAGTTTGAGGATATGATGCTAGAATAGCTACTAAAGGTATTACCACCTCGACAAGCAGTTGATCATCAGATAGAATTACTTTTGGGAGTCAATCCTCTTACAAAGGGGTTGTATAGGATGATTGCTCAAAAAGTAGCTAAATTGAGGAGACAATTAGACGGGTTGATACAAGTTGGATTCATCTAACCCTTAAAAGCACTTTTTGGGCCCTTATACTATTTCAAAAGAAACAAGATAGGAGTTTACAATTATTTGTGGATATCAGTTAAAATTCTATTACGCAAGTATACGTATCAAATAGATAGTAGATTAGTACGCAAAGTATTGATCTCACAAAGAATTGATCTAAAATTTTACTAAGTACTAAAATTAGAAAAAATAATCTTATCCAGACACTCAAAATTAAGTAATTAAATAAAACTAATTAACTAAAATTTAAAGCAACAAGAAAAATCAAAATAATAATAACTTGAGTAAATATCAAATCAAACAAGCCTAGGATTACAGTATCCTTCACACTTCATCTAAATCTTATCTCTCTTCCTTAACTTATTTCAACGAATTGAATTGCTAATCTAGAGTTCTAAATTATTTATAAGGATCTCCCTACTTATCTTATAAAAATATCTATTTTACCAAAACACTATATTCCTATGTGTATTGAAATTAAAATAGACTCATTAAGTTTAGGCTCTAATCTGGCTATATATGACCTATAGGTATATCCCTATCCTATACACAAATCAATTAATATGATCCTATGCTATCCTAATTTTAGTCTACACTAAACTCCCCTTCCCAAGTTTGTTTAGGTTTCTAAATCAATTTAATTGGTGATCAAGCAATTAAAAGTATTAAGAACAAATTAGAATAAACAATTCAAATCTCATGAAAGATAAGCAAGAAAGAGATTAAAAGTTTAGATTATATGTGAGTTCAATTGCAATCTTAGAAAAATAATTTAACTCATAATATCTAATAAAGACAATATCCAAAGACATTTAGCCATCAATTCAAGTCAAAGAAAATAAAAAAAAAACATAAAAGTAAGAGAGAAAACTAATAGTTAGAGCTTTGTGATCTTGATTCTCCCTCTAATTCTCTCGTTTTCTTTCTTTGTTCTTGGCTCCAAATCTCTAGAATAGTTGTTTGTTGCCTCCTCTCCAAAATCTTTGAAAAAGGTCCCTTAAATAGGCTCAAAGTAACCTAATTTTTAAAATCTCATCAATTTTTTTTATTTTTGAAAAATCACCCAACCCTGTAACGCTACTTCTCCAGCACTGCAATGCTAAGCTCTCTAGAAATTCATATTGGTGAGCTTCCTTTCACCAGCGCTGCAACCTTGTTCTCCTAGTACTATAGCAGTCTATCAATTTTGAACGTAATTTTCACCATGATCTGCTTCGAATTGAGAAAAGTGATAATATAAAAATTGTAACTTTGTCTATTATCTTTCTAATGAGTTAAGAATCATGTCAATTGAACTTTTGGACTGAAAGATATACTCTAAATACTGCATCATATTTAGGCCATGCATACTGCTGCAGTGCTCCAAATTAAACAAATATTTTGATCACAATCTGATTAGAACTAGGTAAATTGGTAACATAAAAGTTGTAGCCCTTTTCTTAAAATTCTATGGTCTAAGAATCACCTCATTTGAAATTTTGTAAAGAGAGATATGGTCAAAATACCAAAATATATATGAATAAAGCCATCACTATACTCGCATTGATTTTCATCAAATGAGCCTTTTTCATCAATTTTCTACAAAAGCCATAAAAGAAATTACCAATAACTACTCTTAAAGTAATTTAAAATAAAATAACATAAAATTTAACTAAAATAACTTAAGCTAATCACTTAACAAGTAATCAAACTTAAACTAGAAAAACACCTAAAATGTTGAAATCTGAACCTAAAATTTCAAAGATCTAGCTACTTAAACCCCTAAATTATGTCAAAATAACTTATATAATAGAGTAGTTATGTAGATATATATGTCATTTAGTCAAAATATGGTGATGTGAAGTAGTACCAGGTGCAAGATTATAATCTTTTAACGGCTATTGATTTCAAAGCAGTAACATTACGAATATTTGATTGATTGTCAAAATATTATTTTTCAAATTTGAACGACCAAAATAAAAAATCTTTAAGTGATTGACAAAGTAGTTTACTTATATATTTTTGAAACGAAGCACTTTAGAGATTCTTTGACTCAACATGTAATAAGCTCGATAATAATATCTTGTTACCTTCGACTGAGCTTTTATCTATGAAATATCTCACAGATCATGCCATATATATTAATTAAAATTTTAATTGAAATCAAAATCATTAAAGTGATAAAGCTTTTTTTCTTGAACAATATATTAATAGAGCTTATTAACAAATTAAACAATCAATTGAATAGTTGCATATACATATTGTTTTTTAATTAAAATTTAATGGTATTAAAAATTTGGCTGCATGTTATGTTAGTAAAAAAAAAAAGTGTCATGCATGTTTCTTCTTTTGTCATGTATAGGGGCAGAGCTCGAGCATTTTTAAAGGAGATGTCAAATAGAAAGAAACACTAAATAGTTAAAAAGAACTTTACACATAATTCAATTATCACTCATCTAAAATATTAAATAAAATTCAAAATACATTGAACATAAAAAAAATACACATTAACAATAATGATAGTGTCATTTATATGTATGACTAATTGAAATTATAAAAAAAATCTCTCTCACTCTTTGCACTCAAGCGTGAAAGAGAAAATAATTTTTCAAACTCAAATGTGTTGTCTCTTTACTTTATGTGTTCTAGCTCTTCTCTTATTTTCTATTTGCCTCTTAAATTTCTAATTAACATATTAGATTATTGAGTTAAACTATTGAGATATAATATATTATTATAGGTTATTAGGTTAAACTATTAAGATATAATATGTTATGATAAGCTTAAATTTATATTAAAACTGAATGAGTTTGAATTAGTAGACTCACTTTTATTTTTTATTTTTTAACTTTAATAAGCTTAATATATTAGTTTAAAATTTATTTACTGGGCTTAATTAGCAATGTGCTCACCATAATTACTCTAATTTTATCAAACAGTTTAAAGAATAAAACTAATTATTAAATAAAAAATTATTTTGAGAGTCATTAAAAATATATATAATAAATAAAATTATATTGAAAGAAGTACAATTATTTCATTTTATCAATTTGTATGTATATCTTTGTTATTTAAAATTTGTCACATGCTCGAATGAATTGGTTATAAAAAAAATGATATATTGTTAAAATTCTAAGTAATAGTACAATACTATAACTTATATTTAGAAATTATATAATAATTTATTTATTTTTAAAAATTAAAATCATATAAAGTAAAATCTACTTAACAAAAAAAAAGAAAAACATGGTAAGTAGAAGATATAATCCACATATAACATAATAAAAAAGAAAAAAAACGAATATGATTGATGTTTCGTAGAAATTTGTGAAAGAAAATTTATAGATATTTAGAACATATGAATAAATAAAATAAAAATAAATAAATAAAATAAAAAATTAAAATTAAGTCAAGCATATGAAATTATTTTGTTATTCTTTTTTATATTAATTATTAAATAAAAAATTATTTTAAGAAGCCATTAAGAAAATTTAAGGCTTGGAGTCTCGTGGAGTAAAAGCAACCTTTCATACGCATGGTAGGCTTTTCCTTAACTTCCTTGGATTTTTTTCTCCTTTAATTCTCAATCTAATTTGTGACGTTTTCAATTTCACCAGAGGCCTCTACATCTCATACTAAGGTTTTGAAATTCTCCCTTATATATATTTCATTGGATTTCAACAGAATTGAACAATTTGATAAACTTGGAGGAGTTGTATTTAAGCAACAATGAAATTGAGAGCTTTGGATCTTTCGGAGGTATACTTCAAACATAGTTTACTCAATTATTTATATACTAAAGCGAGGGTTTCAGATGTTTAACTGTAAATTTACATAAACTTTGATTGGAAGTGAAATAATCGTGTACATCTTGCACAGAAGATAAAAGACAATTGGACTTGATCAATCTCGAAGTGCTTGATCTGAGTTATAATTATCTCAACAATAGCATATTTTCATCCCTTGGGGCCTTCCCAAATCTGAAGCAGCTTTATATACGAAGCAACAACATCAAAGGATCTGTAGTAATTAAAGGTAGAAAAAAAAAAAGCAATATTAATATATTGTGATAATTTTTTGTCAAAAGTAATTTAGTAAAAATCTGTAGAATAATTAGCTTAGCATCAATAATGGAGTTTTCAAACTCGTTAAATGATTGTCATATATTTATTTAATAATTAATTAATTTATTAATTTTTATAAATACATTTATTAATCTTTTAACTCTGCTTGTAAAGTATAAGACCTTCATTGATAATGTATAAAATTATGTTTATCCTGTATATATTTTAAATACATCTTGTGTATGTATTTGTATGATTTAATTTAATTATTTTCATTTGTAACTCTCCTCAGAACGGGATGCTTTGAGCAAGTTAGAGAAACTAGACATGAGTATTAATGAAGCAATTTTAAAATTTTGTCTAGGGAACTTAAGTTTTATTCATTAATTTGTTAAATATTAAAAATAAAGATAATGGAAAATAATTTGTTAAATATCAATATCTCTCATCAGTATATATCACAAATGTCTAATAGAGTGTAACAGGTGTTTAAGTGAGGTTGTATGATATATATACATCTATATATATATATATATATATATTTGAAGTTATAGGTATGAATAAGAACTATAACTATAATCAAATATTAGACTTTATGAAAGAAATCAATATGAAATAAACTAAATATACAGATCAATTAACAAAATAACTTATAACTAAAAAAATTAATATAAAATTAGATCAAATTAACATTTAACGAAAAAGTTTGTATCTAATAGCTTTGGAGAATATTTACATCCATGTTGTCTTATTCACAGGTGCGAGAGGTTTAAAGAATCTCAAATATCTTGATTTTAAGCGCCGTTAGTGCCACTAACGGCAGCGTCCTACAACGGTCATTGGGCTGCTTCCCGTTACTGGAGACTCTTCACCTTGAATCTAATAATTTTAACGGAACAGAGACTATTCAAGGCATGTTACGGTGATTATTTCAATTGAATGAAATCCGTTTGTCTTGTTGTGGAGACGTCGGACCATTTCCAAACTTTCTCCACCATCAAAATGAGTTGCAGTATGTTGGTCTCTCTCACATTAAACTAACGGGAGAGTTTCCAAGTTGGTTGCTGGAAAACAATACAGAACTAGAAGCCCTTGAACTTGGCAATAACTCTCTATCGGGGCATGTTCGATTGCCATTTCATTCATCCATGAACTTGGATATCTCCAACAATGTCTTTGAGGGCCACATTCCAGTAGAAATTGGAGCATATCTGCCACAGTTGCGATTTCTATACGTTTCATGAAATTCTTTTAATGGTAGCATTCCCTCTTCAATTGGTGACATGAAGTTCTTGGAAGAATTGGACTTATCCAACAACAGTTTGACCGGCGTAATACCTGAGCCTCTTTCCATGAGTTGCTCCTCCTTAAAAGTCCTGGTTTTATCAAACAATAGCTTGGAGGGCCAAATATTCTCTGCAAATTTCAATTTAACTGAATTGAGGTATCTAAGATTGGATGGTAATCACTTCACTGGAATGATCCCAAACAGCTTGTCAAGCTGCTCAATCCTGTCAACAATCGACATCAGTCTTAACCATCTTTCTGGTAAAATCCCAAGGTGGATGAGGAATCTGTCAAATTTGCAAGAAATAATCCTGGCCAATAATCATATTGAGGGTCGCATCCCAGTGGAGTTTTGTCAACTTCACATGCTAGGAATTTTGGATCCTTCTATGAACAATATATCTGGCACACTACCTCCTTGCTTCGACCCACCATGGATTAACCATGTTCATTTGTCTAAAAATGGACTTCGAGGACAAATACCAGACAAACTTTGCGAGAGCTCTAACCTGGTGACGATGGATCTCAGCAATAACCATTTGACTGGCAATATCCCAAATTGCATTGGCAAGCTTTCTAACTTGAGTTATCTTGTCTTGAGCTACAATAATCTTGAAGGTGAGATCCCAATTCAGCTTTCACATAATAATCTTTCCGGTCATATCCCTCATTGCTTGAACGTTACCCCACATGAGGAAACAACTAAAGATTCTGTTTATGAATATAATCGTCGACATGGTAGGTATATGAATTCTTCAGACATTTCTCACATATCATTTCCCACAGAAGAACCAATACAATTAACAACAAAGAGCATATCCTACTCCTACAAGGGAAGAATCTTGGCATACTTGTGTGGAATCGATCTCTCCTACAACAAATTGACGGGTGAAATTCCTCATGAAATGGGAAACTTCCATGAGATTGTTATGTTAAACTTATCTCGTAACAGTTTGAGAGGATCAATCCCACCATCGTTTTCTAATCTCAAGAACATTGAGAGTTTAGATCTTTCTTACAACAATTTGAGTGGGAGTATCCCTCTTCAATTTGTTGACTTGTCTTTCCTGGCTTCTTTCAATGTGTCATACAACAATTTATCTGGAAAACCACCTCCAAGGACAAATCAGTTTGCAAGTGATTTTGACGAGAACAGCTACTGGGGAAATCCTTTTCTTTGTGGGAAGCCGCTGCCTAAAAATTGTTCAACAATTGAAGTATCATCAAACTCAACTGAAGATGGAGAAGATGTTGGTTTAATTGATGTCACATCCTTTTACGTGACTTTCACCGTGTCTTTCATAATTGTTTTATTGAGTATTGCCGTGGTTTTATACATCAATCCTTACAGGAGAGGAGCATGGTTCTATCTTGTAGAAAAATGCATCAAATCTTGCTTCTATTTTGTTGTGGGCAATCTTCCCAAACTATTTGGTTGTCGTAACATGTAATGTAGCCAAGCTATATTCGTCTTTCTTAATAAAATGTAGTGTTTTTTTTCAGTTAAGTATCCTATTTGGCACTTGAAATAATGAAAATTTAAAGTTAAGCTTCAATTAGTTGAATTTTTTATTTGCTACTATAAGCTTATATCCTTAATTGAAGGAGCTAGAGTTATATTATTTTTTTTTCCCAAAAATTGTGCTTGAATGAAAATTGTGATCGATTGATAAAAAATAATCAGTGAATTAAATTTAAATTTTGAAATTATTTATTAAATATTTTAATTATAAACCTAACTTACTGCACGGTTTAAATCCCAAGGGATTTGATTATAAATATGATACCTTTACTAAACGGTAATTACAAAAGTTTTTCTGCAAAAATATCGAACGGTTTCTTATCCAAAGCTGGGACTCGGTATCGTAGCTTTCACGATGTCGTCTCCGCTTCAATGCCCGTCCAAGCTTCTCTTCCCTCTCCCCCATCCTTACTGCAACTCCGTTCTCCCCTATTCCACTCCACGACTTCTGTATCCCCGTCGCCAAACGGTCCGAATCCTCTGCGCCAAGAGAAGAGGCAAGCAGAGATACCCTTCAGAAAAGAAGAAACTGAAATTGAAGCAAAAGGAAGTTCTATCCCCCGTCTCGGACAAGTTCGAGGGGATTTGGAGGCTGTCCAAGCTTGCCGTTTCGGTCCAAAACGACCCCGGAAAAGACTTTCTCCAAGTCCATAATGGCTTGCTTCAAGAAATCGCTAAAGTCCTCGAGTTCCCAGTAATTTCTTGTCTCGTTTAAACTTATTTTAGAGAAATGTTCTTTTTTTTTCTTTATTTTCTAATTTTGGTTTATTCCAGGTTGCTTCCATGTTGCCAGCGGAAGCTTTCTCAGTGGTTCGGAAATCTTTTGACGCAAGAAAGGTAAGGAATTTAGGCTCTGTTCATTTAGTACTTACTTTTTATATTTATTCTGAAAGCAGAAAGCCGTGTAAATAACATATGTAATTAATAGTATTTTTGAGAAAATTAGAAATGAAAAATGTAATCTTTCTACATAACAAAATTATTTGTTTTACTTTTATAGACTAATTATGTTGATTGATACCAAGGAATAACTAGTTTTCAAATATTATGCATGTTGGAACCTGTTCCTGCAGCATACTTGTTAGTACCCAATATCTATTGTCATTTCTGTCAAATAGTGTCTTTGGTTTGTTTTATTTGAAATGGAAGAACATTGGAAAATAACAGAGTTTAAGTTGTATATACATTTTACTGATTTGCTTTGTTGATGGTCTTCAGATACTGAAGGAGGCTAAGTTTGTATATACTGTGGATATGGATGTCAGAAAGCTGCTGAGTTTAGAACCTCGTACGTGGGACTTCATTTCTCGGTTGGAGCCAAAAGTTGGGCTTATAGAACATATGCCTCACGAAAGAAGCAGTCATGATTTGACCAGTATAGTACGTGATTTTAAAGATAGCAATGATGACACATTGGCAAGAGAGCACAGACATAACATTGACTCTAGTGTATCACTCAAGTGTTCCCCAGCTAGAAAACCAAAAATTGCAGTTGTGGGTAGTGGCCCATCTGGCTTGTTTGCTTCCCTGGTACTTGCAGAATTTGGTGCAGATGTTACTTTGATAGAACGAGGTCAAGCAGTTGAGAGGAGGGGGCGTGACATTGGCGCTTTAGTTGTTCGCCGTATTTTAGAATCAGAAAGCAATTTTTGCTTTGGGGAGGTTATATCTCATTTCACTTGGTATTTCTGCTAAAGCATATTTATTATCATAATTGCTGATATTATTTGGTTTCATTCTTTAAAGTCTGCTATTTGGAAATAGGACTGGCTCTTAATTTGGAGGACCATTATTTTGTAATCGAATGTAACGTGACCGCATGAGTTTTCTCAGTAATGTAAATGTAGCAAACTAGCTTAATTAGATCAAATTAATTTAATCAATTCAAAAAGTATTATTGTTTTTTATATTAAGTTTTGATAAGTTGGCTGGACAAAGGGAGATAGAGCATCATACGTTTACAGCTTTATGGTTCTAGTACTCAAGTGGAGAACAGGTTGAAGTAGCAATGACAAGGTGCTATCTAGATCACATGCATAGTACGATCTTGTTATCTTACTAGAAACAATATTGTGAAGCTAAAACTTTTGCTCTCTCTCTCACTTATTCTTGTTGTCCTGGGTCAGATCTGCTTTAATACGTAGTTAGTTACAGATGGGAGAAAATGTTGATTCTTGGTGCTAAATAAATAAATCTCAGTTTTTACTTTGATGGATATTGTAGGCTTAACTACTTTAACTGAGGCCAGAGAACTTCTTTTTAATGTTTTCTTGTCTACAACAAAAGGAAAAATGTTTAGTATAAATGTGCTCTCTTTCCTGATTCCAATCATGCTTTTAAATGCATTTTGGTCTACACCTATGCATTGTGAGTTATCTATGATAGCATATAACCCTGTAAAACTACTTGCCTCATAAAATATTGAAGAAGCAATTTCTTTATGGAAAATAATAACTTGGTTAGTTGGCTATCAAAGTCATTTACTGCTTGACTTCTATATATTTCCTGTGAAATCCAAGTCCTTTGTTGCTTTTCTCAAAACCAACTTCATTTTCTTCTCTATGGGGTTTTTAGTTTTTATGTTTCTCAGCTAGTGTTATTTCTTCATTCACTTTCCAGTCATATTAAGGACTTATGTATGGCAGGGTGGTGCAGGTACCTGGAGTGATGGAAAGCTGGTAACTAGAATTGGAAGAAACAGTGGCACTGTTTTGGCGGTCAGAACCATTCCTCAGGATTTTAAAATCCCCCCCTCCCCCCTTTTTTCTGTTGTTCTAGTAAAGTGTTGCTTTCTCCTACTCCTGGGTTGATATTCAGTTGTCATGTGCGTGCTTTTATATGGATTTGCTAATTGTATGATTTTTTAAATTAAACCCACCTGCTCTTTCTGCATGGAGATATACTTAGACAGTGCAATGTACTTCCCGCATGCAATTGATTGCACTTGGCATAATAACGATGAAGTTTTGAATTATGGCACTTTATGTGGTTTACAGATATTCATTGATGTATATCTGGCTATTGCAAAATATTTTGATATGCTTGGTATTGTGAAGGACGGATTGTTCAGCTAAAAGAAAACCCAATTGCTCTGCCACTAAGTGGGAGGTTTAATTCCAAACATCAGAGAAATATTGTGGAGCTATATTTATTAATTTGCCAAAAGGATATGTTGATAAAGAAAGAAAAGGGAACTATAATCATTTCACCCTTTTGTGTTTCATGTATTATTGTGATTTTGAGTCTTAAAATTTTATCATGCATTACTCACAGAATAGATTGACTCACAAATATTCTGTTCTCAGATCATGAACACCTTGGTTCACTTTGGTGCTCCAAAAAATATATTGATTGATGGAAAGCCTCATTTGGGAACAGATAGGCTGGTTCCTTTACTCCGTAACTTTCGGCAACATCTTCAATCATTGGGTGTGAGTTTAATAATTAACTTCTTTCCTTTTGATATTAATGTGTATATCAGACAAAGTTTGCTTCCTTTATTACAGGTCAAAATGTGATTTTGCTTTTTCATTTTATATATGCTTAGGTGACTATCAAGTTCGGAACGAGGGTAGATGATCTGCTGATACAGAATGGACGTGTTATGGGTGTCCAAGTCTCTAATTCAACAAATAAATTGCAGTTAGACTGTAAGAAGTTGGGATTTGATGCAGTTATTCTGGCTGTTGGACATTCTGCACGTGATATATATCAAATGCTTCTTTCTCATAATTTGGATTTGGTCCCAAAAGATTTTGCTGTGAGTTCTTGTGCATCACTTGTGCAACTTTGCTTTGTTAATATATCATTTCCAGAAAGCACATTCCCCGGCATTTCCAACTTTTGTCACTTTATCAATGTGGCCCAGCATCAACCAACATCACTTACAGCTAGTGTGATCCTAAAAGCATCAAAACAGTTGTTGTGAGCCTTAATCCATGATTGAAGTTTGTGAACTTGCATTGGTGAAAAACATGAATAGTTATATCGTGATCTGGGAAAATGAATTCCAGGGGTAGCTATTTTGTCTTAATGCGGGGCATTCGGATCGACCACTCTGTTAGCCACTACAGCTTTCGTTCTTTTACTCACCTACCTAAGAAATTATAACAGCGATTCCTTCTTTTTTTTAGTTCTTTGAATTCTCCAAATGTATCTCTTATATAGATGTGCGTTAGAGGAGACACCTATGAAACCATCTGAATACATGCACACATGGGTAAGCTCAGACATATGATGCTGTGTGAAACACAGTTTTTAACAGTTTTCTTGAGTTGCTTATAGTTCATTTCTCTCTTCTCAATCCTC